TATATGTTGAGTCGATACTAGTATTGGAACTTCCCCCCTCATATCTAGTGATAAGAATGAAAACTTTTGCCCATGGATTGATGATTTGTCACTAGATCAAAATATTTCCAATAGGTGTGTCAAGTTTGAACAAATTGAGATGTTTGCATCTGTCAAGATAAAAGACCCGTCAAGAGAAAGAACATTATATGTTTGCATCTATCAAGTTTGAAAAGATCTGTCAAGAGAAGTTAATTATAATCACCAAAGTTAAGTTGTTATTTCCAATACTTAACTTGTTCTTTCAAATATGGAAGTTGTTATTTCTAACTGTGGAGTTGTTATTTGCAAAACTAATGAACTTATTCTTTCCAACAGTTAACTTTAATTTGTAGAAGTGAACTTGTTATTTCCAAGTACAAAGTTATTATTTTGAATGCCTAAATTGTTAAATCGTAATTTCCAATATTGTACTTAACTTGTTTGTTCCAAAACTAAACTTGTTATTTATAGAGTTTGGTTATGTAGTTTTGTTCATTATGGCTATGTGGTTAACAGTTCTTCCCTATGAATATTGCAAAAAAGAGTTGTCAAACACATACTAGTTTTTTGTTATCATTGATAACATTGTTTTTATTTCCCATCAAGTGTTGTAACTACAGACTATGTGCATATGATGTCCCATGTGATATGTTGTGACCATGACTGCCAAGGAGAACATGAACATCAACAAAATGACATGCATGAGAAATTTGGAAGATAAGAAGTCATCATCTGCATAGAACAGAGAAGCATCATCCATTACACCAGCAAAAAGATCATCTTCATCATCTTAGTGGCCACCATTATTTTTTTGTTGAGACCCTTGCGGTGATTGAACAAGAAAGTGAAAAATTCCCAAGTTCAAACTTGATTATAAGTAATATCCTTTTGGGAGAGAGAAGAATATTCTGTTTGTATTACAAAAATAGTTGTTATCATAGCCATACTTGTTTTTCGTTATTAGCAATAAGAATGTTGTTATTTTTAATGTAACTATTGTTATAGCCTGTGATTTGATTTCTAATGAAATTAAGTTCCATAAAAAGTTTCTATTATTTCCACATTTTACTGCTAAAATATAACAAGTTTGGTAAGCGAAATAATAATTCTATGATTAGGTTTCTATAAAATTAAGTTTCATGAAAAGCTGTCATGATTTTCACATTTCACTGTCAAATGATAAAAGTGGTAAGCCAAATAATAAGTTTGGTAAGTGAAATTACAATTCTGTAATTGAGTTTCTATAAAATTAAGTTTTATGAAAAGCTATTATTATTAGGGGTGTTCAAGGCCGGCCCGTCCCAGTCAGCCCGTTCCGGTCCCGGTCTTATTGGGACGGGACGAATCCATCCCAAAATTTTTCGGGACAGGACAAATCGGGACGATTAGATTTGAGACTGTTTTTAATTTTTTTTTAATTTTAAGCGAAATAAAATTTTTTTTTTAATTTTTTTAATTTTTTATCCTATTTATATAATATCATTTTTTTCATATTTTTTTAAGATTTGAGACTATTGTATGGAACTATGGATATATTTATTTAGAGCTTTTATATTTGTCAATGATTTGAGATTATTGATGATTAGAATTTTTGGCAAGTTTTTATTGTGTTAAAAGCTTTTGTTTAGAGTTTTTAATGACTATTATATGTAATATTTTGAGCTTTTGTTTAAAAGTGTCCAAACAAATAAAAAAGAAAATAAAAAGATGTTTTTATAAGGTTTAAGCCAAAAAAATATAATTAAAAAATCAGATTTTTTTAAAAAAATAAAAAAAATAACAAAAAATAAAAAAAAAACTTCGGGACGTCTCGGTCCCGTCCCGGATCTGTCTCGTCTCGACCGGGACCGGGATAATCCTGGGACGGGCCGGGACACGGGACAGATTTTCTGTCCCGTTACTGTTCATCGGGACGGAACCAGGACAGGCCTGTCCCGGTCCTGATCCGTCCCGTGAACAGCCCTAATTATTATTTTCACATTTTACTATCAAATGACAAGAGTGGTAAGCCAAATAACAAGTTTGGTAAGCAAAATAATAAGTCCATGATTTGGTTTATAATAAAACTAAGTTTTATGAAAAGTTTTTATTATTTCCGCATTTCATTGCCAAATGACAAGAGTGGTAAGCTAAATAACAAGTTTGGTAAGTGAAATAACAATTTTGTGATTGGGTTTCTTATAAAATTAAGTTTTATGAGAAGTTTCTATTATTTCCACATTTCACTGCTAAATGACAATAGTTGTAAGCCAAATAACAAGTTTGGTAAGCAAAATAACAATTCTGTGACTGAGTTTCTCATGAAATTAAGTTTTATGAAAAGTTTACATTATTTTTGCATTTCACTTCTAAATGACAAGAGTGGTAAGCCAAATAATAAGTTTGGTAAGCAAAATAACAATTTTGTGATTGAGTTTCTCATAAAATTAAGTTTCATAGAAAGTTGCTATTATTTCCATATTTTATTGCCAAATAACAAGAGTGGTAAGCCAAATAACAAGTTTGGTAAGCAAAATTACAAGTCTGTGACTGGGGTTCTCATTGACTTCAGAACATAAAATAGATTTGCATTGTTACCATTTAGAACTAATAAATATAAAATATTAACATTGCTTTGCCCATAAACAAAAAACCAACATTTCCAGATCCTTATATCATGTTGCTGCCATCATAGTAACAAGTCTACAGTTACAACATTATTAAGCAAAATTACAACAATGGTGAGCCAATAACAAAAAACTAGAGGTGTTTTGACAGCAACCAATTTTTACAAGATTCAGTGACAAGTGCACCTCAAACTAGTTGCAACCTCTTGGAGAAAAAAAGGTAACGGGAAAATAGGCATGGCATGTAGGATGCATGGAGATATAACTACAGGGGAATGGCTTGCTAGGCAGCTTCTTCAATTTCAACCTTTAAAGTCTTGTTGTCAAGCTTATATGCTTTAGATGAAAAGTTTGGATGAAAATGCAAATGCAAGAAAGATGGCAGAATTACCTAGAGCCATGCACATCGTAGGAACAAGCTTAAATTAACCCAACTAAACCCCCCACTTTTTGGTAATAAACCATTGAAGCAAATAGATGAAGCCACTAAAACCGTCACTATAATAAAATCATCATACTTGTTCCTATCATGAGCTTAGAGAAGATATGGTGTGTTGGGCAATTATTATAGAACCAAAGGAAAAAGAAGGACGAAGAGAGGGAGTTGAAGAAAAGAAGGAAAGGGAAAAAGATGGGAGAGAGGAAGAAAGAGAAAAAAGAAGTCATTTTGGTCTTTTTTATCATCATTATATATTTGCAATTTAAAACCCAGTCTCCTAAGGCAATTAAGTTAATTCAGAAACCCATTTTATAATTTCATATATTTAGGGGTCTTTTTTGCTATTTGTCCTTTTATATTCCCATTTAAGCTTGTGCTGTACAAGTTGTTTTGTCAAATTACTTACATGGTACATTTTTATTAAGAAAAAGATTAAGTTGCATCTAGCACCTTAAAATATTTTTTCAGATGCATCCAACATCCTGAAGTATTTTGTGGTGCATCCAACATCTTAAAATATTTTTTAGATACATTCAGCACCCTGAAATATTTTTTTTTCTTTAATGTTGAATACACTGAATAATATTTTTGGGTGTTGGACACACCTAAAAAATATACTTTGAGGTACTGGATGCAACTAAAAATACTTCACGATGTTTGACACATCCAAGAAAAAAAATATTTCCAAGTGTTGGATGCATCATAAAATATTTAAAAGTATTAAATACATTCAAGAAAATATGTCAAAATGCTAGATGCTCCTTAACCTTAAAAAAATTATTCAACTCTAATAAATTCTGTGTACAAACTTTTTTTGTATGCAAAGCTGTCTTCCTCTTTATAATTCTCTTTATTTTTAAACTGAATTGAAATAACACGGTTAATCTGGTTGGATTATTTACTATGTTTGTCCTGAAAATAGATAATATTCAAGTTATTTGGTTTTTTCAGTTAAAACCAAATGCTCAACTCAGGGTGTGTTTGGATGAAACCAAACCGTGGTTTGGAAAAGTGATTCTGGAGAATAGATTCTGGGGAAAATAGATTCTGTGAAGAATAAATTTTGTAAAAAAGTGATTCTGAGAAGTAAGAGTGTTTGGATAGTTGTTATCAGAAGCACTTTTTATATATAAAAATTACTAAAAAAAAGACATAAGTTAATATGATAATTACAAAAAAAATAGATTTTATGATATATTTTAATTTGAAGGAATAAAATTGTTAATAATATGTTTTTTACCAACATAATTAATAATACATAAGACAATATAATTAATAAATAATTAATGTGTATATATATTTATAAAATGTAAGATTAAATATATTTATAAAAAATATGTTTATAAAAAAAATAACAAGATACATATCATATAGGCCCTCACACTCTTCCTTTTTTCTCCAAAAGCAAAAAAATTTTGTTTTTTCCAAAACCATGGTTTTGGAGTCAAAACCATAGTTTTGACCCAAAATCATGGTTTTGGTTTTTGGAGGGAGTGTTTGGGTGACTTATCACCCAAACCATGGTTTGGGTCCCCAAACCATGGTTTGGGGTGTCACCCAAACAGAGCCTCAATTAGTTTCCCAAAAAAAATTATATTCAATTGGAAAAAAAAGATAAAATGAAACGCACAAATTCTAAAGCCAACGTAACAAAACAAAAATTAGATTAGGAGGTGTTTGAATGACATGAGAAATGTTTTTAAAAAGTACTTTTTTATAAATTGAGATAAACTCCTTCACATGTTTATTTCGTATATTATAAAATCATTTTTGAAACCAATTTCATCTAAACATCCCCTTTCATCTCAACATACTATGCGGGGGGAAAGGATAAGAAAGGGTTGAAAAGGATAAACAAGAAATTCGAAGATTCATTCAAACTTTGGAAGGTAAGAAATTTAAGGCGGAGGGATGAGGGACTCCCTACAAGGCATTAATGTTATGTTTCCAATCTTGTGGAGGAAGGGGAAACGGAAGAACCGATGAGGCTGAAAGTGACGTTATGACCGGGAAAGATTATACGTTCTCACACCTATGAGAGCAAGCACAACCCCACAATTTACGGAGATTCAGAATTGGGCTTCTTTTATTTTCCCTCGTTGGTCTTTGTAAAGTCTTTCATTTGACTTCCCTAGACTTCCTGATTTCTTTATTGACTTCGCTGTGAGTTTCTCATTGGGCCTGATTCGTTTGTGATTCTGCAAGCTTTTGTCCTGAATTCGTTATTTTCTGTTTTTGCGACTTTGAATTTTCTCGTAAATTCTTTGGTTCGCTCTTTGAAATTTTGTTGAATATTCGTTTTGAAGGGGAAGCGGTGCTTGAAGTCTGGGGAAATGGGTTTGATATCTGGGCTCTTTTTCGGGATAGCACTCGGCATCGCTTTGATGTATGGATGGCAACATGTGATGAAGTACCGAAGCGCTAAGCGGATTGCGAAGGTATGATGAGTTGTTCCCGTTTCCATCGTACGCGAATTTTTAATAGACTATTTTACTCTTTTTCCTGCTAAAACACTTTTTGCGTGAGATATATGCTGGACAGTGTTAAATGAGTGAATGAATTGATATATAATATGCATTCATTCGGCAATTGGATTTGCTAAACAGTTTGAGACGATGCTGTGTCAAATAAAGAAAATTGCTGTTCCTGGGTAAAATGCAGAAGCCCCCTCATCACAGAGCAATACATCTATTTTTTCTTTTTTTGAATTAATTAAAGGGGTGGGCACTAACCTTTACAGAGCGAGGTTGAAGCTTACATGCCAATGGGGTATAACGGCAAGCAATACATCTATCTGAATTGGTTCCTTGGAACTTATTTTCAGCTGAATTACGGTTACCAACTTTCTTCTTTTCAGGGAAGGTCGCTGTTGTGGGAAATCCAGTCCTTGGTTTTAAGCCTCTAAGAAACTCTTCGCTACACCCTACACTATTTTTATGTCAATAACTCAGTGAAAAGTTTTAGTAACGGAAGTGTAATTGTGCACTTGACCATGGGCATTATCATTTCAATTGTAATCCTTTTACTAGATAATACTTAGCTTCACTGGTTAATTCCAGAAATAATGTCATGGAGTTTTTCTATGTAGCTACTTACAATAGCTCAAATGAGACTGATGAGAAAGTTGTTGGTCAACTAAATAAATTTTTCCTGTTGAAATCAATCTTCCTCATTTTTGGATAAGAAAAGTTGCATCCAACATGTTTAATCAAAACTATTCTTTCTTGAGTGATCACGTTTAAAGGTTGAGTGGTCTTTAGAGAAGACTCTACAATAGGTAACATTGAGGTTATGGAGCATAACAACTCATATTTCTAAGCATTGATGCTCCTCAATTTTATTTAACTGCATACTGCACACATTTACATTTAGATTTCCATTGTTTGGTTTCTCCGTGCTAAATGACTTGAAAATTGACCAAAACGAAGTAGGATTGATCAAAAGACCTTAATTTGGTTGATGCCTAGCATTGCTTGAGCTTGATTGAGAAAGTCTTAACACTCAGGATCAAGGACTATAAGTTACTGGATGCTTGCAAATTGTATATAATGTTCTTGCTGAGATATTCTGGTGTGATAAATTTAAGTCATTCTAGGTTGCTTGATTTATGGTTTGCGGGGTATAGGACAATGGAATATAGTTGAAACGAAGGCTTCCTATGGGTTAAAGAAGGGGAAAGTGATAGGGAAGGCAGAGGAAAAATGCTAAGCAGTTCTGAATTGTAGTGCCCATTAAGAAATATATAACCTGCACTTATGAGGAGAAGCAAAGAAGGAGAGAAGGTTGAACATTTAGCTTGCAAGCTGTATACAAATTTTCATGAACTCCAAATACAATATATTATTTATCTGACAATATCATAAAAATGCATGCATGTGTACGTGTATCGTATTCTCATACAGAGTCGCCTACAAACACTGTCTCATGGTTCCTTTATCTATTTTTGGTCCTCCATTAAGGTAACCTGAAGAAAACTTTTGGATTGTCAGCAACCTTGGTTGTTGGTCTTACTTCGTAAACCAAAAGGTGTTTCTGGTTTTGAAGTGATCATTTTTCATGGTTTTATAGATTATGAGTGTGTGATGGCTAGTAACCCTTTCAAAACTGTACAGTGGTCTGTTACATGAATATAGTATGACTGAGAAAATTTTAAACCGTCAATCTTTGCTAGGGGAACAATGTCGAGTGCAGTTGTTCTCTGTAGGATGACTTGCCATCGAATCAACATTGTGTTTGTTCATATTATCAGCCGTTCGCTTTTATCCCAAAGTAACCTGATTTCTCTTGGACTTTAATTAAGTCTGAATCCTGTTATCCAGATTCCATACTGATTTAATCACATGCATTAATTGAGGCAACATGATTTAGAAGGATTTGTATGATGATGAATATAATGGCATTGACGAGGATATCTTATCGAGCTTCTTGAATTAGTTTACATTTTAGATTTTTTCAATCTGTTGAAAAACAAATTCTCTTGTTTTAACGGCTGGTATTTATTCTTTTGCACAGGCAGTTGATATCAAACTCCTCGGATCCCTTGACAGAGATGATATAAGAAAAATCTGCGGTGATAATTCTCCTGAGTGGATATCTTTTCCTGTGTATGAACAGGTGGGAATTTCCTTCTAATAGTTTAGCTTTCAAATGAGGTGATAAATATCATGTCCCTATAGTTCCAAGGTGATAAGAGATGCCAATTCAGACTTATATTAGGAAAAGGAAACAATAGAAAATTAATGAGTTTATTTAATCAGTCTTTTTTTTAATTGTTTAATTTATCTTGAATATTTAAATTTTTTTACCCTTGTTTATCTTGAATCAAATATTTAAATATTTGATAAGAGATATTAGGAATCAACTAAGAATCCATATTGTTGTGGCCAGGATCCTGTAGATTTTAGAGATTATTTCTAGATTTTATTTAATTACTTTAATGCAGTCTCCGTTTATAAGCAGACCAACCTCCCTGAAGCTAGTTAGTCATGACTAATATATTTGCTCAATTCCTTTAGAGATTCTCGTAAGTTTTTGACTAGTGAGGAGGAGTTAAGCAAGATACTTGCCCCCCCTTTCTTATTAGATTTTCCTTCCCTTTATTTTCTCTAAACCGTTAGTGCTTTAGGAATGAGGATGATAAATGGGTATACTGTCAAATATTTATTGACATTTGGTTAGGATCGATTAACTTTGTTGAGCATATGAGCTTGTTTGAGAGTATTGAAGAGTTTGATGGGGTTGAGAGAATTCTTGCTCCATCTTTTGGGAATTGAATGCAAAGGGGGATGTTGACATACTTCCCACTTTTTTGAAGTTACTATTTCATTCATGGAGTGTGATGGATTTGAATGGTGAATCATCTGGTATTGTCCTTATTTATATTTGTAGATTATAGAATGATATGGAAAATAATTCCTTGTATTTCATTGATCAGAATATGCACATATATATACAAGTGAGAGGAGCCTTTGCATTAATGGCTCATTATGATAATATCATATCATATCAAACCCTAATCATAATTACATAATATTTACATAATATCATTTCTCTACACTCCCCCTCAAGTTGGAGCATAGATGTTAATCATGCCCAACTTGTCACACAGGTAGTCAATACAAGTCCCATTCAGAGCTTTGGTCAAAAGATTACCTAATTGATCACTAGAGTGCACATATCCAGTAGAGATGAAGTTTTCTTTAAGCTTGTCTCGGATAAAGTGACAATCGATCTCAATATGTTTGGTACGTTCATGGAACACAGAATTAGAGGCTATATGTTGGGCAGCCTTATTGTTACACCACAACTTCGCTGGCAAAGTGGTTTTGAGACCAATTTCTTTCAGTAACTGATATATCCAGACTATCTCACATACAGACTGTGCCATAGCCTGGTATTCTGCCTCTACGCTCGATCGGGATACCACGTTTTGTTTCTTGCTTTTCCAGGATACCAAATTCCTGTCCACAAAGACACAGTATCTTGTAGTAGATTGTCTCGTGGCCTTCGATCCACCATGATCTGCATCACAGAAGCACTCAATGTTTGTATGACCATGATTTTTGTACAATATCCCGCGACCTGGACATCCCTTCAAATAATGCAACATGTGCTCCAGGGCTTCCCACTATCTGACAGTTGGGGATGCCATGAACTGGCTTAGTACACTGACTGAATAAGTAATATTTGGACGAGTTACAGTGAGATAGTTTACCTTGCCAATCATTCTCCTGTACCTCTCAGGATTCTCAAATGGTTTGTTTTTTTGAGCCTCAAACATCCGTTTCTCATCATCAAGAGAGTCATCAAGCGGTATGCTCCCATCAGCATCAAGGAGTGGGTTGTGAACCATAGGAAAATTAGTCGGCGCTGCTCCCAACTTTCCAGTTTCCTTCAGTAGATCAAGAACATATTTGCGCTGTGTCAGTAATATGCCTTTCTTGCTTCTCATAACTTCAATACCTAGAAAGTATGTCATAGAGCCTAGATCCTTCATCTAAAAGTGGGAATTAAGAAAGGACTTGAGGGATGAGATGCTTGAACTATTACTGCCTGTAATCACAATGTCATCTACATACACCACCAAGAGAATCATGCCAGCTAATGTTCTTTGATAAAATACAAAATGATCGCACTTGCTTTGGCTCATGCCAAATTTCTGTACAATAGTACTGAACCGGTCAAACCATGCACGAGGACTTTGCTTCAAACCATACAAGGACCTCTTAAGGCGACATACTTTCCCACGCTCTCCCTGAGCAACAAAATCAGGTGGTTGCTCCATATAGACTTCTTCATGGAAATCACCATGCAAGAAGGCATTTTTAATGTCTAATTGATGCAGATCCCAATCATAAGTAGCAGCCAGAGAGATGAATAGACGAACAGATGAGAGCTTAGCAACAGGAGAAAAGGTTTTGAAATAGTCAATACCATAGGTTTGTGCATAACCTTTAGCCACAAGGCGAGCCTTAAGGCGGTCAAGTGGGTCGTCAGCCTTAGTTTTCGAGGTTAACACCTATTTATATGCAATGGCCTTTTTGCCTACCGGTAAATCTACCAGGGTCCATGTACCAGCCCGGTCAAGGGCCGCCATCTCCTCTTCCATAGCAGCACGCCAACCCGAGTGGGCCAAGGCTTCCCGAGTAGTTTTGGGCATAGAGATAGTATCTAGTGAAGCAACAAAGGAACTGGACACAGGAGACAAGTGGTCATAGGAAACAAAAGAGGAAATAGGATGGGCACAGGTATGTTTACCTTTGCGAAGGGCAATGGGTAAATCAAGAGAGGCATCCAGGTCTGGAACAGGAGGTGTCTCAAGGTTAGGGTCAGAGCTAGGTTCAGTGTTGCTCAACTCAGGATCCAATGGCAAAGCGGATAAGGGAGGAATAGAAGCTGGCATGGCGATAGTGATCTCCTTTAACTGTCGTGTATAAACACGATCAAGTGGCTGAACGGGTGCGTGAGCAGGTGCTTGAGACGACGGTGATGATGAAGTGACAGAGTGTATTAGAATGTCATCCTCCTCCGTAGGTGGAGCAAGTGTGGAAGAACAAGAGAAATATGGTGTGGACTCCTGAAAGGTGACATCTGCAGATATTAAGTAACGATTAAGAGTAGGTGAAAAACAGCAATAACCTTTTTGGACCCGGGAATATCCAAGGAAGACACATTTAAGAGACTTGGGGTTTAACTTCGAAATAGATGGACGTACATCCCGCACAAAACAGACACACCCAAATATTTTAGGATCAATAGGGACAAAGGCTTAGGAGGAAAGAGGGTAGTATAAGGAGAGTTACCATCAAGAACAGAGGAAGGCATCCGATTAATAAGAAAGCACGCAGTAGAGACCGCGTCAGCCCAAAATGGTTTGGGAACCTTCATTTGAAACAAAAGTGCACATGTTACTTCAAGTAGGTGGCGATTTTTTCTTTCTACAACACCATTTTGAGCTGGTGTATCAACACAAGATGACTGATGAAGTATACCATTTTGAAGCATGTAAGATTAGAACGAAGTAGAGAGATATTCTTTAGCATTATCACTTCGTAAGGTGCGAATAGGAACATTAAACTGAGTTTTAATCTCAGCACAAAAGGGACAAAAATGGGAAAACAATTCAGAACGATGTTTCATTAAATATAACCAAGTTGTTCGGGAATAATCATCAACAAATGTAATAAAGTATTTAAAACCTGCTTTGGACTCTATAGGATAAGGACCCCAAACATCAGAATGAACTAACTCAAAAGGGGATGAAACCCGTTTATTGACACGAGACATTAAGGGAAGATGATGATGTTTGGCAAACTGACATGACTCGCAATCTAAAGACAACAAATGCTGAAATTGAGGATAAACTCTCTTAAGGGAAGATAAAGACAAACGACCCAATCGATAATAAACTTCAAAGGGAGAATGACTGCTAGTGCAAGCCATCACATGAGACACCCGGTCATCCAGGATATAGTGCCCGCCAGATTCATAACCCCTACGAATAATCCGCTTCGACAAAAGATCCTGTATCAAGCAATGAGCAGGAAAAAGTGAGACCCAACAGTTTAGTTGACGGGTAAGTTTACTGGGAGTTTAAGTTTAGGGACATTCAGCACAGATGACAAACGGATAGAAGGTGTGGGATTAACTGTGCCAGAACCAAGGACTTGAGACTGAGAACCATCAGTGATAGAAACACTTGACGGATTGGCAAAAGAATTATAAGAGGAGAAGAGATGACGGTTACCTGTCATATGATCAGTAGCCCCGGAATCTATGATCCACTTTGAGGAAGAAGAAACAAAGGCAGTAGCATTATTACTTGTTGTAGCAGCGGCACTCACAGGTGGCGTAGCAGATTTCAACTAGGCATCTCAGCGGCAGAAATCGTGACTGTGTCACTGGCATGTGTAGCCATGTGGGCAAAGTTATTGCGTTGTTGTTTATTCTGAAGTTTACGACAAGTGCGTTTTGTATGCCTCGGTTCTTTGCAGTAATAACACACCACCCTACTAGAGTCAGAAGGGGCTCCACCTTGCTTTGAACCACCACGGGTATGCCCCGGAAATTATGCTTACAGCCATGCACATTGAGGAGAAGAACCAGGCTATCAAATGAGCAAGGGAGACTAGGGCAGCCAAGACGCAGCGTTTCGCTAGTGGGCCTAAGGTGGATTCGGCCCAGTCTCTATATCACAGAACTACCCAGACACTTGAGCCTCACCGAAACTATGCTTCTACAATTGTAAGTGTAAGCCCATCAACAAAGGGGATTCGCAAACACAAACATGAGGACTGATTTCAAGGTAGCGGACTCAAAGGTGGGGAGTTCATCGTCAACTGGGTTTTCGGCCAAGCAAGGATGGCGTTCACACAGATTACCAGATATTGAGCTTAATCAACGAAGAGAGCAAGGCTTATGTTTCAAGTGTGCAGATAAGTACAGCCCTAACCACGTCTATAAGAACAAAAACCTGCAAGTCATGATTCTGGAGAGGGAAGATGAGAGGGAAGCCAACGAGGGAGAGAGGGACCGAGAAGGAGATGACATATTGGAGGGCAATGAGCACCCGATTCAAATGGAATTGTCCTTGAACTCCATCGCAGGCTTCAGAG